CACGTTAGGCCTACATCTAGCCGTAGCCTTAACACTCAGACGCAACTACATTTGAAACTGGGACATATACTGGCCACCGTAGTATATCACTGTGCATGCACGTATTGCAAGGGCCGGAACGCCAACCTCGTCTCCATGGAGTCAAGTAGTGCGTCCCCACAGCTACCTGCTTGTACTGGATGAAAGGAAAGTTTCCTATAAGCAGTGTTACTATTGGAAGCAAGCTGAAAATAAATTAACCCCTGGGAGCGAGGTTGAGGGAACAGCATCTCAGCCTCAGAAATCGTGCTGGTTCCATTGAAATATGTGAGTTCATTATTGTCAAACTGTGGCGTGCCTTGTTGGGCATGTGGTGTTGCGCCCCCTACATACTGAATAGTCGGTGACGATTATTAAAACGGAACATTTAGCTTGGTCCAGCAAAATGCTCTGGAATAAATTGGAGCACTGAGTACTTGGACTGTAGTAACAACGACCACTTAACACTTGAAATTCTTGTTAGATTGTTTGATATTCGAGCCTGTGGCTAGAAAGCTGCATAGCAAAGCTATCACCCGCCTGTAATCACGCAGTGCATCGTTTATGCAGCGTGATCAGCCTACAGCTCAGAAACGACTCAAGTATTAATGGACGATGCCAAGCACTTTTCCCCTCCCTGTGGCTTTTATTCTGCATTAAGAGTGCATACATTAGCATCCCCACAAACCTTGAATAAAGATTACACAAACCAGACTGTTTGAAGTGGGGACATTAGATCATCAGATTGACTCGGCGCCGGCGCAATTTGTAAGAAAGGAATAAGTGCTGTGTAAAGTAATGTTAAAGTGATACGGCGCCTTATGCCCTCTGATGCACAATCATGTTTTTGAAACACCGTCATGAGAATCTTCACCAAGCGGAACAAAAAATGATATTGACAGTCCCTTTGGTGCCAACTCACCGCAAGTTTATGCGCGTTTGACGCTGAGAACGCGTACATGGTCTTTGCGTACACGCAAAACGTGTGCAAGAAACCGGTTATAACCACCTGTCTTTCTTTCGCCGATTGGGGGTGCACTTCAGCTCAGGGCAACTACTACGATAAAGTCGTACATTTTACAACTGCTCTACTCTTAATGATACCGTCACACACAATAACAAATATTAGTGAGGTTATCTACCTCCACCGGTGCATGGGTGAAAAGTTTTATATCGTTTGTTCTCCAAATATAGGCATTTTAGGGGTTGCTCTCAAACTGCGTGTGTGCTCAAATAATGACCCATACCCAGTAACGATAGGAAAAGGGACAATCGGGACAGGAATCGGCACTCTGTTCCCTCGGACTGGCCGAGGATCAGAAAAAAATAACAACCACGTTTCGTTGATAATTCGGCTGCGAAGAGCTGTGTAGCCTTTCAGTTGCGGAAATAATCAGCAGCAACACGTCCTCGAGAGCAGAGAGAGGAGCCCCCAGGAACACCCGAGCGCGTCAGCTTTCACGGAGCCAATCACGAGTTTTGCTGGCACACCAGGGACTTCATTAGCGCTTTCCAAGGTCTCAGTATTTTTCCAACAGTAATTGTTATCCCGGGTCCCTACGGTAATTGCCATAAAGCCACACGATGAAGGAGAGCCATTACATGTGCTTTCAAAGGCTACTCGAGGGCATGAACATATATTATGATGACCCAGTATGGACGTGAGGAGTAAAATTGTACGAGAGATCGCATGTTTATTATTGGTTTATATTTTTTTAAATTATATCTTTTTTATTGAAAGGGCTTTTTTCCCCTTGTGACGAATGCATTGGTTATGAACACATTATTTTCCAGTTCAAACTTCCAAAATATTGACAGTAATTGCTTTAACAACCCGAGACACAGTTTAAAAGAAGCTGAAAAATTAGGGACCCGACAATAATTTAAATTGTGTTCCAGAAATCTCAGGGATGTTGGTATGCATGTTACTGGGCCCTGAACAGTGCTGATTTTACACTGTTTTCAATGGGGGTTGAATTAGTGCACTGTACCCACAACCAGCATCACATGGGCCTCAGTATAGGGAGAATATCAGGCTGGTATCCTGCGCAGTGTGCTTCACCACTCTCGAGCATCATCGCGGCATCATATCACAGCGTTAAGAAACCAGTGGAAAAATAGCAAAGGAGTCACCTCAGAACATTGTTTTGACTTATGTACGTGGTGTGGATGTAAATTATAGGCATTTATCAAGAAGTGGCCTTACGTCAAGTCTGACTCCTACTTGTGTTTAATAAGCCATTTTCACAACAGTTTCTCAAAACAGAGATTTTGCACTAGAAAGCTGTACAGTTTTTCCAAGAATCAAAATCACTGCAAGGACAACTTATAGGTCCAAGGGGAACATATAATTGTAACGCTGTTTATGTTACGTAATTATGTTTATATGTAAACAGAAGGTCTCTCGGTTACGCGCTTTGTTGATGCTGGTGCGATAATCTTGCGAGAAAAGATTATATAAGATTACTTAATTGGCAAGTGCGTATCTCGCTGTTGGCTAAGAGCTCATCGGTGGAAGTTAGAAGCACTGAAGGGGAAGATGAAGCTTTCACAACTTCTTCTTGTTATTCTAATCATCTGCTCCGTGGCGGAGGGAGCAAGGGTTAGAAACCACGACCAAACCCGCCGACAACGCCGGCGCCGTCCGCCAAAACGCCGGCCGGCCGTCCTCATGACCACCGAGCCCACAACAGCGGCGAGGACCACCATCGAGATGCAGCCGCCGCCAAACGCCGAGTTGAAACACAAGCCACAGTTTAGCATCAACGGCCCCGTGCCCGAAGCCCCGTCCCCGGTTGACCGGGGAGCAGGGTCCACGAACCGGCGGTCACTGGAGCCAGGTGGCAGCCGGACACGCGGCTTGCCAGAAGTGGGCACCAGGAGAACCGGATCGAACCGGCTGAGCACTGAGCAACAACTCATCCTACTAGAGGCGCACAATGACTTCCGAGGCCAAGTCAGGCCTACTGCGGCAAACATGGTGGCACTTGTAAGTATAAGTCTCGTAAGCTCGACATCCATTCACTGGTGTTGTTTCATAAAGTTCACTGTTAAAATTTCCGACAAACGCGACAACTCCCCACTCACGGTTATCATTAAAAAATTACACCACCCGAAAGATCGGACCGAGTCAGGCCACGTGCAACTATAGCAAAATTCCAAGAGTACGCTTCTGTGCTTTAATCACCATGTTTACACCTTTTCTCACACTGTACCGTAAGCCGTTTACTTACTCGCAAATCCCAATCCATCTGCATACATATAGGCCAAGATAATGCAGTCTTTATCGGTGGCACTTGCCGAATAACCCCTTGATAATTCATATTTCCTGTAGAGCAGAATGCTAAATGAATGTGAACGCTTTTGTGATAAAACTTTAGGTTCGCGATGAATTGAAGCTCCTCTGTTGAAAACTGTATTGTTCAGTACACAAGCTACTTGTGAAATTCACCTCGTTCGTATTAATGTTTTACTATGTAGGCCTAAGTCGTCGCATCGTCACAATTGATGCCGTGTTCAGTTTTTCTTTCTTTGCGCTTACTTGACGAGGTTGAACCGAATTGCCGAAAATCCTGTGAATCTACAGTAAGGAAGAGGCAATATGAAATTCAATTGTATCATTCATTCATCCCTTCATTTCTTAAATCCATTATTTTATTACGTCAACTTAATTGTACTGGGCCGTTGATCATTTTTATGGAAACGCCGTATTATAAATTTCCAATTATTATGATTAGTAGTACTAGTAGTAGTAATGAAATCAAATCTAGGGATTTCCATCTTTAAAAAAAATGAAACCAGAAGATGGAAAGAAGCATTTGATTAATTATTGATTTGTTGATTGTCGATATTGTAGACCTCTCTCAACCGATGGGCATTGTGAGGCTAAAAAAATGAAGAAAAAAATGAATGGAAAAAGAAACATAGAGGGAAAGAAAAAAATGAAAAACGGGAAGAGGGGAAGGAAATTACCAATTCGTTTGAAAAGACATGTACATAACAAGTGAATCGTGGGTATCGCCAGGATTTTTTTTTCTGGGGAAACCACTTTTTATGGGGGTAGGTTTCCAGGGAGACAAGCACTCATCTGCTAAAAAGGTAAACAGTTATTAGCTGCAGTGGGCCAAATTTTTGAGATTCTTTAAGTGAATTGGGGATTTTCATCCCATTTCGTCTCTTTTTACCCATTTCTTCCACTTGTCTTTGTTCCTTTTTCAGTACTGTAATGGGAGTGGGGGGTGTAGTGCCACCCCTTTCCCCCAAATTGACCCCCTCCCCGTTTGCCCGGTTTGCCCCTTTGCTGCCGATGAGTGCTCCCCATCCACACCCCTCCTTAGAAAAGTATCCTGGTGAAACCCCTGCCTTAATCCTCAACTGCATGTCCAACTGTAAAGCACATCGTCTGCATTGTGCATCGGAACTCTTTCTAAACTTTTTTTAAATTTGCCCAGACAGGCTAACCTAGATATTGTCACACTTCTCCATCGTTTCTGTCCGTAGCAATGGGATGACGATCTCGCGGCAATGGCCCAAGTGTGGGCAGACCAGTGCCGGTTCATGCACGGGGGCACCAGCGGCAGCGGACGGTACGGCTGGGTGGGCCAGAATCTGTGGGCAGGTAGTGGGACCGGCTGGGATCTCTACGGTATTGTGGAGAGTTGGTTTAACGAAGAGCAATATTACACGTACTCCAATGGCCAGTGCAGTGGCGTCTGTGGGCACTACACACAGGTATATGCGGCACTCCCCTTGAAAAAAAAATTCATTCCTTCGTGCCAATACGGGCGTTTCACAATATTGTGCGCCTCCAAGAGTTTGCAACGCGTTGGCCAATCATAATGCGCGAAATCTGTCGACCCAATGCGCGTTTGGAAATAGTTGACAAATTTCGCGCGTTGTAATTGGTCAACGCGTTGCAAACTCCTGGAGGCGCACTATTGGGAATCGCCCGTATCAAAGGCTTGGAAACAAAACGTCCGGCTTGTGTGATTTCATTTTCACAATTGCATTAAACAAGGTAGCGTCTGAACATGTGCTGTAAATATTGCTGTTTTGTTTCGATTGTGTTCTCACTCAATAAACTCTCGGTTGGAGAGTTTGCGGCAAAATGACCAGGTTGGTTCCCGTTTTCTCTACAGGTTGTTTGGGCAGAGAGCAAATTTGTGGGGTGTGCGTTCCGGACATGTCCGACCATACAAGGTCTCAATGGCTGGTCCCCTGCTTCCATATTGGTCTGCAACTATGGCGAAGGGTAATCGGCTCATGTCAAAATTCTGCGTTACATTCATACAATTAATTTGATTCATTTTGATTGGACTCAAATCAATTCCATTCTGTTAGAATAGATTTGCGCCGATTTCATTCGATTTTGCCATTTCCAGGCATTACAAATAAAAGTAGGAGGATACTCGATTCGATTAGAAAGCTAAAGAAAACTTATTTACGAAGAAACTTAAAACCCTACTTTGCAATTTGAGTGACAAAATACGCTAATATTCTGATAAACGATTCCTCCTATTATGTTCTAAACTATTAGTTTTACTTAGGCCCCCAAATGTTCATTTTGTTTGAAACTCATGTCGGGATTTAATTCTTGCTACCAATTTATACATGCATTCTTTTTATTGGAAATACATGTACCATGTTGTGCTGCATGGAGTCGCACTGTATAATATTGTTCGAAGCCAAAAAATAACCTTTGAAGTTTTCTGCCAATCCTTTTAATTGCTTTGCTAGTGGGAACTACATTGGCATGAAACCATACATAAGCGGTATTCCCTGCAGTCAATGCCCGGCCGGGTATACATCGTGCATTGATGGCGAGTTATGCGGTAAGCTTTCCGTTCAGCAGAGTATTCGTGAGGACATTAATTTGTGGCACGCACAAAAATGGTTTTCACCTCACGTTGCACTTACAGCTAATGCGGTGAGACAGCTAGACTCAGCTAATTTTTGTGGATGGTCAACTTTTTTTTAAGATTTTGGAATTTCCGTCTACTTGGAATCATACCCGGAACTTGGCTGTAACGTCATTGTTTGAGACTCCTTCGTCTTCGCCACACTTCCATTTTCCACTTTCTTCAAAATGGTGATTTTCAATATTATAATTTCCTGTGATGTTCTAAAGGCTATTAGTATCGTTCTGTTCTCGAGTTAATGGACTACCAGATGACCACGGCTGTCGTATCCAATACAAAGTAAATGATTACTTCCAATCAGCCTTGCCAGAGCAAGAGCTCGCCAGCAGTGACACCGATGATGCGTTTGAGGAGCCAGAGACATCTCTAGAAATCCCAAGCCTACCTGACTTGGGAAGGGCGACGGACGGGCCTGAAGCGGGAGGCAACGCCGGCGGTAGCAGCGGCAGCTCTAGCCAACCAAACAGTAAGTGATTTCGGCCAGTGTCCTTCGGGTATACGCATGTACATGTATAACGTTAGAGGTTGCGCATGGCGACCAATTTCCGGTGAGAGCTGTTGCTCCACAGGGATACACATGAGTAGACCCTGCACTATCCCTCCGTAAAAAAAGAAGTTACTGGAATGATTGCTAGTATGTATAACCGCTATACTGCAGAGGATGTGGGTCGATTCCATTCCATCGTTCAGGTATAGGATGCCTCATTAGAAAATGGAAAATTTTTAGTAGTTTATCAGTAGTGGTTGCAACATTGTGCATGAAATCAGTAAAAAAAAAGTTTAAAAAGTTAAAAGGGAATATCGACAATGTTTGTATTGAGACATAAAGCTGTATTTTTTTAGAAAGTAGTATGAAAAATAAATCCATCAAAGAATATATTGTGTGTCAACTTGCTACCAGTCTACATCTTTTGCTTGTGAAAATAATCTCAACCACTTTGCACTTTACATTGTTTGAATATATTTTTCTGTTTGATCGAGTGAAGGACAGAGTTAAAACGATTTTGTCCTTCGTTTTTCGAAGCATGTGGCGGGACTTCAGACGCAAATTCTGGAGAAATATCGTCCCCCAACTGGCCAGCTCCGTACGGAAGCAATATCCACTGCGAATGGGTGATACAGGTGAGACTTCAGGGGGACAGAAATAATAAAGCTTTAATCGCACTTACCGGTTTTAATTAAATTTGAACCCAAGATGTTAACATTTCCACTGTAAGTAGCGTCGAAATATGGCTGCGCTGTTGTGCGAATGGGCGGCTCGACGATTGCAGAGCTCATTCAAGAAATGATGACGTCACTCAGTTTTGTTGGTATGTCATGTTGCCCGTGGTTAGGCTGGGCGTGCATCTTAATAACATATTTAATATGCTTCAAAATCCCCAGTCTGAATGACCCCCCCTCCTGCTAAAAGTACTGAGTAGCAGAGAATGTTTGTCTAAATCATTAATGTTATGAGGTCGTCTCGTCCTTGCCGTCTTGGGTCAGGGGAAGCGCTCTTTTTAACCGACCACACACTCCTTTGAAGAGATCAAAATATCATCTCCGACGTATTTTGCGCAACTTGACGTGAACAGTATACAGGGAACACATTAATTCTACCCTCCGGAGGTATTCATCTAAAGCCATAATCCCCATATCTCGCCATTGTCGCTTGTTGCAGGGCAAGAGAGACCAGACGGTGACACTTCAAGTGACGTACATGGACATAGAGGCAGAGAGGAGATGCCTTTGGGACTACCTCCAGGTGAAGCCGGACGGCCCAATGGGCCCTAGCACAAAGTGCGTCCGCGGTAACTGATCTCCCGGTGCTAATATTTGGGTATCTCGTAATACGTACACTTAAGTGTTAGCTCTGGTTAAGTCGACTTTTCGAATAGTTCTCTGTTCGTCCTTCGAGGCACCAGCTTGTTTGTCTTTGTAAATTGATCTATGATGTAATAATTGGTGCACCGCTGCATTGTGAAATCTTGTAAACATAAACAAATAGAGTGGTATGATAATTGTCATTATGCCCCATCTCTAAGACAAATAACTGACGTAACAACGATACGCACGTTGTATGTCATGCACCTTGATTTTCAGGCGGTTTTTTTTTGGGGGGGTCGGACACGGCAGTGTTTTCGAGTTGTTGTATGTCGTTGGGAATTGTTTTATTTGGCGACATCAACAGGTACTGCGGTAACGTCAGCCCCTCTCCGATAACGTCACAAGCAAACGAAATGAGAGTGGTCTTCCACAGCGACGACAGTGTCAACAAAGGTGGCTTTTCTGCTTCCTACCGGCTGAATGGTGGAGAACAAGACTTGGGTAATGCGGATCCAATTTTTGAGATCTTGAAAAATTATTGTTCACGATTTTAACAAGAAATTCTTAGAGTACGCCTTGTCCGCTTTGAGCAGAGGCACCCCCCCCCCCATCGGTTGAAAAGAGCCATGCTGGTCAGGGTGTTCATTTAGGGGAGCAATACAAATCATTACGTGCATTTTATAGTCGTCTGTGAACCAGCGAAGTGCAGTTCCGACTAAAAGAGGCCTTCCTTGCTGGGAAAAATGCTCTCTCTCTTGGTCCGGCTCGGGGCTCATACTGTAAAAAACTGTTTCATAATGTCTCTGTGTCAAAATATTTTTGTGGTACATGTACCTGTCATTGTCAAGAAGACGACTGATAATCGCTGTGGAATATCTCAGTCAGGCACGGACAAACGCACTTTGACTGGACCTATTTTGTTCTGGACATTTTGCCACCGATAACAACCCTCTTATAACAACCTTGTCTCCCCGTTGTAGCCACCGCCTGCGGCGGTAAAATTGGCGGGAAAAAAGGCAGCGTTAAGTCGCCGAATTATCCCAGGGACTACGATGGAAATCTTGACTGTTTGTGGACCATAGAGGTGAGCCCTCAATTGAAATTACTAAAAGGTTAATGTGTCGATCTTTTCTTTTTGGTCCCTCGTATCGCATACGACACAGATAGAGTAGGCGTGGTGCGACAGGGTTTATATTCCTGTCGTTTTTCTAAATGCACTTATGACTGAGCGAGACGCTGGGGCAAGTGAGGTTTGTAAACAGGTTTAGAGTAGAGAAGGGATGGTTGTAAAACGGCTATTTTTTCTATAAACGTTTGTCCATTATTCATCCTTAAAAGAACCCTCACCATTTCTCCAGAGTCAGATGCTGGTGCCCCCCTCACTTTGATAGGCAATACGGGGGATTCACATTAGTGCGCCTTCAAGAGTTTGCAACGCGTTTGCCAATCAGAATGCACAAAATCTATCGATCCTTTCAAAACGCGCATTGGGTCGACAGATTTCCCGCATTGTGATTGGTCAACGCGTTGCAAACTCTTAGAGGCGCACTCTTGAGAATCGCACGTATTATTTGGAAAGCGAATGTTTGAAAATAATATGTGCATTTATATCGAAAATGCCATTCAAATATGCCATTTTACGAAAGAGGCTTGTAGGAAATCATTGTCACCTTCCTCGTTTCGTCCGTTCATTTGTACTGCCTAGGTACCAGAAGATAAGAGGGTTAGGTTGACCTTTAAGGTCCTGGTAATTGAAGAACATGCTAGCTGTGACTACGACAGAGTTACCATTCGTATCGGCAATGAGCGAGTACCAATGATGTAAGTGCCCTCTAATATATTGTGTTAGCCGATGTCCGTCGCTGATGGCAAGTCATTACGCCCCTCGGTCTGATGTGGCATCCTGCACGCTGTTAATCTTGTGAAAAACTAGTATGGCCAAGCTGCACTGCAGAAGGAAATTGTAAAATGAAGTAGGCCGAAATGTCTTCATTCCAACCGATGACTCAAGACGAAGACTCCTGAGTCCTTTTGAGGCTGCAGCCTAAATGATGGGCTACACGTCACTTAGCTTTAACCGAACAGTTTATATAAAATTAACCCAATTTATATAAAATTAACTCAATTACTAATGATCATTTGAAAAAAAAAAGACCAGCGTTTGGGATGAACATGCTCGAAAGAGTGTCGGCAGTTCGCATTTTCACCAACCGTTGCTGGTTGATATTGTGCTATTCTGGTGTTTATATCGTGCATTCACATTAACATTTTTATTCAATCTCCGCAGCTTTTGCGGGAACGAGACACCGAACGGCAACATCATATCACTCAGCAACCGAATGGAGATCCGCCTGGTAACGGACAAGACCAACAACAGAAGGGGCTTCTGGGCGACTTGGAGGGCCATTTGACCATCATGAATAAGACCCTATACCCCCTTTGAAATCTTGGAAATTATCTTGATCAGATCTGATTTATTAGCCTCTGCGTATAAAAACAGTTGGGTCACTTATAACGACTTAACGATTCTCTCTTAGTCTTTTCTTTTAAGTGTGACGCATTTAATCGAGATTGGTGCACTGTAAATGAATAAAATGTTCGTATTGGTATAATTCAACATGAGTCCTGCTGTTGTGTGCATTGTTTGGCGTTTTTGAAGGGGGGTCATATAGAACTCTTGCCTCCGCCTTTGCCATTATTCTGATGTTATTACAAAATTAAGAAAGAAGAAAGTATCCGCCTCGTGTTGACGGAAGTGCACCCCAAGCGGCAAAAGAGAGATAGATGGTAGTAAGTTTTCCAAGCGGGTTCTTGCACGCGTTCTGCCGGTACGCAAGGACCATACGTTAAGGAATAAATACGCGCACTCAACCTGCTCCGCGTCAAAAGTGCCATTGATCTCCATTATAAATGCTAGCTTATACGGTGAGTACCCCCCCCCCCAAAAATACGGCTTTGGGCTCAACGAGATGTTGGAGGAGAAAACAAATCAAAACCTTACTCGAGGTATCCTTGCTTTTATGTCAAGGTGTTGTTTTCCCAGGTTTTTTGTGATAAATAAATATAACAATTACTTTCTTACCTATGAAATGTTCTTTGTAAGAAAAGCATGGGGGGAGGGGGTTACCCTTCCCCCCCGTTGGATACGCAACTGCTGAAGCGTGTTGATAGCTGGAACACTGATAAACCACGAATCCCAATGAGCGTTGCTATAGACCATTTTGGAGGGGCTGGGCTACGAGACAAAATCTGCCGCAAGACCACGTCTCGAGAAAAACGTACCGCGGATTTTTCTTGAAACTTTGTCAACTGCAAGAGGTTAATGCCCTGAGAGCGCATAGTTCAAGCAAACGGGACACACGGGTGTCACAGGGGGGGGGGCTTGTCTGAAAAAAGATAAAGTACAATAAGAGTAAAGAGAAAAAAAGCGAGAGAACGGAAAAAGTGGAGGAAATTTGCAGAGGATCAAAACAAAGTTGCTAGAAAAAACCTTGGACGGAACTGACCTCCTTCCTCCGTTCTGTTTTGGTGAATGCTATACCCCTCTGCGCTTGAAAAAAAAAACTGGCAGCGCCCATGACGCCCAATCATGACTTTTGGGCAAAAGCAATCGAAGTTTAAAACACAACCTCCCAACCATCATCACCTCTTCGTGAATAAAGACTCTTCATTAACTATAGGCCTATACCTACTGTACTGTTACGGCTAACTTTTATGACACCGTGTATCAGTGAGTCTATACATGCCAGACGCTCCGTAGAAAACGTGGTATCGACCACTCTATTTCGTGCATTTTCAATTTACGAATTGAAAAGCGCTCGGTTCCTGGCCTCTCTTATGTGCTGAGCTTACACATAACATGCAGTTTACCAGTCTCTGTTACTTCGGCGTGGTTGCGTGCGCGTACCGTGCGTCTCTCGGGGAATACCGTGCAGTTACGTAGGCCCACATGTAGTTTTTCAATTTGGCAAACAAGTTCGAAACTCAGGACCACACGTACATGTGTACAAGGTAAGTTCTGACGTAAAGCTTTCAGAAGTACAAGTAACATGAGTAAGCCTTGACCTAGTTTTTGATGACCTGTAAATTGCTTGCTTCAATTGTTGGCAGTAAACATGGTAAATATGATGACTAGACATGCTGGAGCCACATTAATTCGGCATGTTTGGGTCAATGGACAGGACCAGGGACAGTATGGTCCGAGTAACCTGGACACATCATGTACAAATTGCCATGTGTAACATAAATGGACATGGTCGGGCATGTAAAGTCCGAGTACAGTAGGCCTAGGCCCTACCTTCCATAGATTTTTGTTTCCATAAGGTCTAGGCCTAATTCATTTCACTCAAAATAGCTCGTACCCTGAGTCAAAATTCACCTCTAAAACTCTCCTTAAATTTTCTATTGTGCCTATCTATGGAGTAGCCTGAGTGAGAATCGGAGATTCTAATAATAATGGTTTAAGCCTATTCACATAGCCATAGGCCTATGGGAAGAAAAGAGAAATTTCCCTATTCAAATCAGAAGCGCTCTTGTCAACAAGCTCGAAGATGCCATCTTTCCTCAAATAGCTGAATAATGATTTGAACTAGGCCTAGATCCTATATGTTTCCTGTGAACGATGTCACGGCTCGCCGGGCTAGTGTACATGTACCATTCACAGAATGCGTGCTGTGTTGGCACACGTATGTCAACGACTGTGTCCTGAGCGGTGCAAAGTTTGGTGGCTGTGACCAAATCAAAACTGTACACTGAACATTACGCTGCTCAAGAAACAGTTGTCGGCGTGCCTGTGCCAACACAGCTTGCTTTCTGTGAATGGTCCGCTAGGCCGGCACCCTTTGACGTCGTCAACAGGATTATAGTTCAAATTGCTGTTTGACTAATTAGAGGAAGGATGGCCTCTTGGAGCTTGTCAACAAGAGCTTTTCCGATTTGAAGGGGAAATTTCTCTTTTCTTCCCACACATACATGTACATGTATTCATGTGAGTAAACCATAGTATCCTTATTGGAATCTCCGATTCTCACTTAATCTATAGACAGGCACATTAGACATTTTAAGGACAGTTTTAGAAGTGAATTTGAAGGATTTTGACTCAGGGTACGAGTTATTTTTAGTGAATGAATAAATAAAAGCAAAAGCCTATGGCAAGTACATGTACTTCTTGGACCCTACTATCACCCGACCATGTCCAAATGTTAAAAAAAGCGATTTGTAGGGTTCAAGTTACTCAGACTAGGGCTACGTGTGCACAGGAGCTTCAGACCATAAGACTGTGTACCTACAGTAAGCCCTTCTTTGAAAAATCTAACTTTTTTACTCACCAATTTGTCGTTTCCATCCAACAGTGATCACGATGATCACACCATTGTTATAAGCCGTTATGTTTATCACATTGCCCATTGGTCGGGCTGGCCAATGGCTGAGCACAAGATTGCACCGCATTTCGGTTTGACCATTTTCAGAGGCAGGATGATAACTACATGTACATGTAAGATCTTACAATCTGTCTCAGGCCGTGTCCGTAACGGGCTTCCAGAGCTACAGCTAGTTCCATTGTTAACGTGTCATCATGATGTATGTCCAAGGGGTGAATGCCTAGACCATGTAGACCTAGCCCTAGACAACAGATTTGGATGCAGCATATCGCGCCTCCTGATGGTATCACTATCGGCTTACAAGTAAGACGGTCGCAAGATGCCGTCGTTACATCGTCACGACCCTTTGAAAATTCTCGGAGCATGCAGAGTTTCTGTAACCATCGAAGTAACTATCTTTGATACAGCAAGGCAAGGCGTGTCTCGAGGCCATACATCGGGCTTTTCTTCTGGATTTGTATGTCGTGTCTGAGTAAATCATGACTTCAGCGATGTTCAGTTGATGTGCACTTGAAAAATCTTCCTTGTCATGCTTGTTCTCACCCCGAAACATGCCAAAACAACAAACAAACAAACTTCTGTGCCTGCGGTTGGGTATCAGATGTCAGATGACTTAATTAGGCCTATTAGGGAACTGCCACAACACTTGTCCACAACACTTTTTCAGGGGAGGGAAGAGGAATTTTGTTCACATACATGCATGGAATTGCACAAAATAATGCCCGGTTAAGAGTCTATAAGAAGATATATCACAGCTAAACACCGCCATCATAAATTCCAAAATGAACGTCTAGTGTGAAGCCTACAACTTTTGCTGGCACCACTGCTGTATCAAAGATGGCTCCAAATAACATTCAGTACCGTTGGGTCTGGGAACCAGACTAGCAGTGGCTGTACATTTGCGTTTGTGAGGGTGCATGTATGCGCATACTTACAATGAGCCAGTCGGGTAATTTTAATTTAAAAAGGCAAGGTCTTTCGGGAAAAAGTGCACGCGTGGGTTGGCGTATAGCTGTGTTGGTAGGGCAGACAGTCGTGTGGGTGTGCTGCTGTTCCCCAATAACCTTGGACGTATTTCAGTCTGGGCATGCACTGTTGGAATACCGAACTGGCTCATATACAGCACAAGTCTCCACTCAAGAAGTTTGTTTTGGATGATTACAGCTTTGTGTAGACTGTGGAACTGTGATAAACATTTTCTATAAACATGGAGCCTACACTGCTTCTTCTTAACCTAGAATTTTTTGCTGTTCCAGACAAATATGTGCATGAAATGTCAATCTCCTCTGGTAAAAGGGGTGAACAAGTTTGCTACACATGTGAATTAATACCCTGGAGGTCATAATGTAATGAAGCCCTTGGCTAAGCCTACCTCAAGTAAACCTTCATGTGTACCGCATTCATGTAGACCATGGCCATGGTGTAGATTTACTGAGATAATGATGGAAGTGTTTTCTGTAATTAATTGACCCTTCTGTTATTCAGCCAGTTGCAGATTGTATTATTTTGGGCCAAAAGTTTTGACTGAAATCAAAAGATGTAGCAGCCAAAAAGAGTACACTATTTACAACTAAATGCCACAAATTATGCTGATTTGCAGGAGTCATTTAAGCAATATTTGTTTGATCTTTCTAGCCACGACCTCCACTTTCTAACACTCTGAGGTATGCCCACAGAGTGCTATTTGCTATCATGACTGGCCTTGCACAGTGGCCAAGTTCAAAGTTCAACACATGTCCCTGTTCCACAGACTTGTCGGACTGCCTGTGTTTAAACATTGGCCGGAGGTGAGTCAGTGCGTGCAAGATGTTTTAACCAGTCAGCCATGCCTGGGTGGTTCTAGCTACATGTACACGTATAGCATTTACAGCTCCTCTGGTGCCATCTGCAGTGTACAATGTACATTGTACATCTCTACATGTACAATGTAGTCAGGCCGAAAAAAAAGGATAAAAAAATGGCCTCCTCTATGCTGATCTACCCTATTTTGATGCATAATCTTAAATTCTTGGGAGAAAATTTTGGAAAAATGTGAATTGGAAATGAAGAAAAAAATATTTCTTATGTGAATTTGAATGTGGTGCAGAAAGGTTCAATGGACATATTGATAAATGCATTCAACTAGTACCCCCGAAAGTGTTGTTCACTTCATTTGAAGCAAATGCCACCCGATCTCTCTCGCTGCCATTAATTTTAATCAGTAAAAAACTCAGCTGTACACTTAAATAGTAACCGTTAAAAGTGTGGCCAAAAAAAGTTTTGTACATGTACCTTCCTGTCAATCTCCATGAATCTGTTAAACCTATCTACCCTGTTTTCAGATGCCATGTAAAAAAAAACTGAAAACAACACTTTTGGGGGAGGGCCTGTTGAGATGTTTCAAGATGTACGTACTTTGTGCTGGGGAGATGTTAATTTACATGTACATGTAATTATGGGTTAGCTGTTACACTGATGTGTATTTGTGACACTGTAATTAATGCTTGTCTGAGAAGTCGTGAAAAACTTCACAAAGTTACTCGGGTGGGACTCGAACCCAGGACCTCCTGCTTACTAGTGCAGATATCTTAACCACTCGACTACCAAGCTTGCTAGGGGTCGGCTGGCCGGTCCGAGTCAGATGTACATGTAGCACAGGTACTGCAGACAAGATGTACAATTCAAGATGTACAATTACTTTGTGTTGGGGAGATTTAACACCGATGTGTATTTATGACACTTTTGCTTATTGTCAGTTTCCCTGTCAAACATTTTTAAGGAGTTGCTTACTTGTCTCTTGTAACAGGTCTGTCCACGATGCAGAGTACACCTGGAGTGGGGCGTGGAGTGACCGTGGATTTCAGCGAGCATGTTCCTTCTCCCACCTCCCGGCACGCAAGCAGCCAATCAGCAGTCAGTCCACCTAGTCAGAAACTAAGTAATTGTCAGTGTTTCCATCAGTGGTTGAGAAGTTCAATCCCTTTCCATGATAAGATCGATTCCAAGTACTGTGAATACAGGGCGCCAACAAAATGTTGCATTGATGTACATGTACCATAGAGGGGTGGCGTCATGGTGGTTTGACATCCGTGCAGCAAAAGATATTAATAATTTACTTTTGCAAAAAAGGACCAGAAAGCCTTTCATGCATTTATTGATATGCATGAGTTGAGTCAAGTTTTTGTGAATCACCAGTGAGCTTACCCCTGTGGCTTCCACGTGTGTTTCCTCATGTACATGTACAATGATTTACATGTACACGTATCTGCAGGGTATGTACAAGTTGCCAGTGGTGAAGTTGAAAAGCATTTGACCTCTTCAAGACATGCCACTGGTTGAACACTGTTCAGCATGTGTCGTGAATTGCTTGCATAATGCATGTGTACATGTACATGTGTGTGGGTACGTGCACATGTCCACAGCTCTCGGAATCAGGTCTGTCAAAGTTTTGACCAATCGTGGCAGGCTGCTTTTCCAATTTGCTAAGAGGGGACATCCTCAGTAGATACATGTACCAAGCAGACACGGTCTGACTTGGCTAGTAAATGATGCCAGCAAGAATTGAAGCCCCATGTCGGCCTGGGTTACCCTGGATTTTATTTCAATTGATTAATGATCTGAAACCTTCATAGTTAGAGTATTTTTCGTCGTGAAAAACTGTTATTTTCAGAAGAGCAGAAGAAATTTTACTTGAATAATAAATAGATGTTAAGAATACATGTAGCTGTCAAAACTTCTTGTCATTCAGAACAATTTTTTGATTCCACAGAGCCCGGTCCAGCATCTTCTGACATGTCCCGCTTGAGAGTTGCTGCTAATCTTGGGCCAGGCTTCACACACAGTGAACACCCCTCATTCAGACCCGACAGCATGGAACCCCCAGGCTCCTTGCACCAGCATGCGCAGCATCAACAGGTGCTTCATCAGGAGTACCAGAGACAATTTCAGCCTAATAAGCCTGCAAAGCAGCCCTCTGCAAACCAATTTGAGCCTCCCGGAACTCAGGGCCATCTCCCTCTTCACGCAGCCAATGAAAAGAAACAGTGGTTTGTAAATTTTGATCAGCAGCAGCAGCAGATGATTGAACAGCAACAACTACATTCACCAACAGCAACCACTGCGGCAACACCTCGACAACAGACCATGCAACAGCAGCTTCACGCGCCTGCACCTGCACCAGTGCCTCCTCAGCAACATTTCCAGCGAGTACAGATTCTGAAGCGCTCGCCCCAGCCCTCTCAGCAAATTCAGCTGCCGTATCAGCAGCAGCAGCCTTCCCCGCAGCAGATGGTCCAGCAGCAGCCGAAACAGCAACCCTCACCATGCCAGCCACTACCACCCCAACCTTCGCAACCGTTACAACGTCAGCAGCGAGCTTCATCCGGCCAACCATCTCAGCAGCAGATGTTTTCTCCCACGTTTGTCCCTCCTGTCTTCTCTCCGCCAAGCATTTCTCCCCCACTGATAGATCCCTTCACCCTTCAGCCCATTGACACATCCAAGCCCCCACCCCCAATTGGCGTCCCCCTCCCGGGACCACCACGACATGTACCCCCTTTAGGGCCTCCGACTACCCCTTTCAGTCATGCTAACCCCGTCAAGCTGCATGCTGAGCGTCAGCTAAGCCCTCCCCAGGAGCCATTGCGAGACCTCATCCAAATGCCCCTGAGTTTTCAGCCACGGCCAAAATACAGAGTCCGCCCGGAGAAATCAAAGCCCTCTCCTCGTCTTGGAGGTGACGGCTCAGCCTTCGCTGCGCTGCCAGATGAAGTATGGGACAGCATTCCCCTCGGTGGAGGGTATAACCCATGTGAAGACAGTAAGTATTGCTGTCACACAGAAATACAGTTGAACTTATCCTTGACTACAGACCTGAACAGACCTGAACCCAATTTGTTTGATCGGCCATCCATAGCCTTCTCTTTTACTTGTATCTTCCACCATGCCGACTTCAAGATTGTGTCATTGTAACTGTGCATGTACACTCAAGGAAAAAAGAAATGCACCACTGACTTTTTTTTTAGGTTATGCCCGAATTTTGTGAAATCAAATGTATGTGTCAGAGGCCCACATATACATGTAGGTCCTTTACATTTTAGCCCAGTAATCTGCATGTAATCTTTGTTTCAGTTTAACCCAAAAAACCACAAAACAAGTTAGCACCTCCGCTCTCAAAAGTGGCATTTACAGTTCAACAATTAACATGACTTCCATTCGCGTTAAGAACAGCTGTAATTTGCCACTTCATGGATCGGCAGTAATGTTGCAGCTTGTCCTGTGGGATAGCAGGTCACTCTTCCTCCAGTGCCACCCTCAGCTACTGTTGTGTCTTTGGGGGATGATCTTGTTGTCAGATGAGACAACTAATCAAGTCCCACACATTCTGGATGGGGGTTCAAATCGGGACTGAGAGCTGGCCATGGGAACACCTCAACATCTTTCTCCTCCAGGAAGTTGGCGCACACACAAGCCACATGGGGATGGGCATTGTCCTGTTGGAACACAGCACCACCCCCAACTCGCTCCAGTAAGGGCAGTACAATTTGGTTCAGGATCTCGTCGTGTTAGCTGGCAGCATTGAGGTTTCCTTCGATGAACACCAAGTCAGTGCATTGATTGGCCAATATGCAAACCCAAACCATCACACTTTGGCCAACCCGGTGGTTGACTCAAACACAAGCGTCACTGTACCACTCGTGGCGTCTCCTGTTCACACGCTCTCTGCCATTGGCCCTGAAGCACTGGAACCTCTTCTCACAGAAGACCATCTGCGACCATCTCTGCAATGCCCGGCATCGGTGTGCTGTGCACCACTGGACCCAAGCCTGGTGATGTCGGCGTGTCAGTACTGAGCCCAAATACAGTCGATATGGTCTGATCTCGTCAGCCTGGAGACGATTCCTAATGGTTCTTGCACTCACTTGCCTGTGGTGTGTCCCTATGGTCTCAGCGGCGGTGCGTATAGCATGCTGGAACCTGTCACGGAGGTGGGACAACCAGTTGGCACAGTCTTGTGCAGCAGTCGTGACCCGCAGCCTGCCAGCTCGGGGACGATCTGTGGAGGTGCCAGCAGTGTTGAAGCACTGTTCAAGACGCACAATCGTTGAGTGGTGGACCCTGAACAGCCTGACCACTGCCTGTCGGTTCCTTCCGGCTTGGATCATGCCCATGGCTCGGTCTCTCTCAGGTTGTGACAGTCGTGGCATCATGGATACAAGTGTTTTTGGTGTAATTTTGGTGTCTTTTTATAGCCAAGGGTTGTGTTCAGGACATGAATGTTCAAAAGCATATCTGAGAGTCACTCATGTGTAACCATTAGCATAACATGCAAAAGCACAGTTTTTGGCAAATCATTCAATCGGAACGCGATAATTGCTCAAAAATTAGAACATACACCATTTTTTACAATGCTGGTCCTACTTCCTAAAATATGAGAATTTGTACGTGGTGTGTTTCTGTTTTCCTTGAGTGTACTTCTCTTGGTTGAAGGTACTTGGCAGGAGAAAAGCAACGAAACTTGCACCTTTTAGAATAAGAGGTACATGCACTTGTATTGGCAGTCTTCCACGTGATATGAAGATAGCCAGCTCAGTTTCCCTTGAAACTTGTCATGCTGCATGATGAGTGCACAAGATTTTGTTTCTGTAGAGATCTTATTTTTCACTTTTTACTTTTGGTTATTTGCACAACACGTACTAAACAACTCCTAAATAACTACAAAATCACATCCTCAAAACCAGGTGGGAGAAACTAGTGCCTTGTTACGGTAGCTATTGAAAGTTCTTAGAAGTTACAGCATTTTGTACAGCTCTCACAGTCCCAAATTTTACGGATTTCTCTTCAACAACCCCAGTCCGCTGCCTGGTGTTTTCAGTGTGCAAGGTGAGATTATTGTTTTCTTTGCATTTGAGGATGCTACCGAAGAAGACTGGCATGCTCATAAATTGTTTCATTGGCAGTGGGCGTCCAAGGTCCTTCAGCTACATTCCCACCCGCAGCAGGGGATCCATCGTTGCTTCCCCAGCCGACCGGCCGAGGCAGCCCTGGCCAGACATGGCAGGACCAGTCGAAAGGATTTCCAAAGCAGAAGAGAGATGGCACGGAGGGGCAGAAGCCATGGGCCAGGAAAGACAAGGCAAAAGGGTAATGGACAAAAACATCTTTCTTAGTTTCCTTAGTTGGGGGAAAAAAAGGAATTTCAGACCAGTATTCCGAATTAAAGGAAGCATGCATTAAAGTTATTTTACTATAGCCTTTGAAATTGCACCTGTTTTTGTTTCAGTTATTATTTTCAATTTTTGTTTGGGTAGTTTAACCTGTATTTTGGAGCATTGCGGTTTTATGCTAATACAAATGTATACATTCTTGAGCAAAATGTGATGTCATCCTGAGCATTGAACCTCAATGCTGCGTTGATTTGTGCACAAAAACTGCTGTAATGTTTTATTATCTTTCTGTCCTAAACATCCGTTTATTTGGCAATTTATTGTGTTAAGTATTTATGGCAATAAGCTAGGGAGCAATCTTTACCCTTAAATGTTCTGAAGGAGCAAATTTTGGATTTGAACTTTCAACGTGGAACTGTATTCAGTTTCTTCCCTTGTTACATCTTAGCAACAGCGCCCTCGCGTATTGAGAAAAGCTCAGAGAATTTTGATTGTGTAACAAAACACACCTTTCAATACATTTCACACCTGAATGATTTCAAACAGTTACCTTACGTTGAAGAAGAGTATAAAGAGGCACAAAGAGTGAGTCTAAGAAAAGGCCTTGCAGTGATCCTTTAAGAAGTCACTTCATAAACTTGTAGACAAATGCAACGGGACAATTCAATTACCACTTACAGCTATTGAGTTCTACATTGTTTTCTTGGATTCACCGGTGATTGAGACCTGAAGGTGCCGATAGGTTGGTCTGAATGCAGGATTACATGTACATGTAGCAGTCTGGGTGTTGCATGTGACATTTTGGTTGAGCACACCTCATCTTCATGAAAAAAGACTAAGGTGAAAGTGATTGATCCACGCCCTTCCTTGTGTACAGTAAGTTCCTATGTGAAAGCATGTGGGTTGTGCACATTCAGATGAAAGTTGGTTTTGTGTATTCAGGGCCCTTGGTGTGAAGTAATGTTGTTATACCACCACATCCTTCAAACACTTGTGAATACGCTTTCTATTGCCATATCATATCTGCTTGGAGTCTTCATAGGAAGGCAACATAGGTCATCTTTATTCATGAACCTTGGCCACATGCAAATTAATGCAGCTTGGAATAGCTCTTTTCATCCTGTTCTTCTCCTCATTGTTGATGCAATTAAAAAAAACGATATGGAGTATTCAAAAACCTTTGGAAATGTTGACTGTTTCCCTGACTGCTTTGTTTTGTAATATTATTTTTTCTAATTCCATAACAGACGTGGCATAACAAGGAAAGACGGTCAAGGCATGGTAGGAACGCCTCCACCCAACAAGCCTGCTGGGGCCTACGGCCCATCAAACCCCACCAGACAGCCCCCAGAGGTGGTGACTTTGGCACTGTCCCAGGAGCAGACCAAGAACGAGTATGAGTGGCAGAGCTTCAAGATCATCCGCAAGGTCAGGAAGGTGCTGGGCAATCTGAAGGACGAACAGGACGCCGGGAAGGCCGCTGCCGAGATTGCTGAGATCATGAAGGCAGGTAGGTTGTGTGAGTGGCGCTTCCACAGGACGTGGCTGTGGGAACTCATTGAACAACCCTCACCCCATACAGGAAAACAAAATGGAAATATTTGTTGAGGGTGTTGTAACTTGAAACATGGACAGAAATTACATGCTTAACATTAGAATGGGAAACTCCCCTGGAAGACCAAATATCACTTAACATCGACAACTTTGGAGTTTCCTGACAAAGAATTTTTACGTGATACCATTACAAGGCATTTTGTATCATAGCTAGCATTCATTACACTTGTGTCATGGTAAACTTGACACCAAATTTGATAACAACCGGATGTACCATTCTTGCATTTTACTGAGATGAATATGTCCAATATGCTAACCTGGTCCATTGACATGCTCAGTTTACGGCTGACGTACGGGAGAGTCTGGACCATACATTCCCGTAAACCCCTTTGGCAGATTGAAACGAAACTTCTCAGATTTACCCATACAATTGAAAATACGACCCTCGGGACTGAGATGTTGTTTGCCCTCCTCTCTGTTTGCTCCAGAGTCTGGGCGTCTAGCTTGCTTCCCCTGGCCCAAGGAGCAGTTCGTCGCCCTGGACGAGATCCTGGGATGGGGGACGGAGCGGCCGGAGGCAGTGGAGGCCGTCTGCAAGCTGATTCAGGAGCTTCATGGTAAGATTGTTGACTGAAAACAGGCTTTCTGTCAGGAGTTAAGGAAATGCCATATACAGGGTTCCCCCTGTCAGAGAAAATCCTGGGGAAAAAGTTGTCCTGGAAGTCATGGAAAATTGGGGAAAAACAGAAAATTTGGGGGAAAAAAATATGGTGTCTTAGAATCCTGTTGTTAGATAAAAAAGCAGTCATAAAAAAGTTATGGAAATCTGGATCACGTAGGGGTTACTTTTGATAGGCTGCTTTGGATAGGATTATGGAATACTGATCAATTTTCAGCCTACAACCCTGTGAGGATAGTATCAATTATCTTTTACTTCATAAGACCTAACCACTTGTTCTGCAAAACGATGTTCAATGTCATGGAAATTGTCATATTTTAGTCCTGAAAAAGTCTTGGACTGAGATTTCTAAATTTCCTTGAGAACCCTGCATTGTTATAGACGTTGATGACGTTGAGAGATGTCCCTCTGTACAAAGAATGTGCTATGTGGGCCTTTTTTTTACATTGGTACGTTTCGGAGGATTTTAACCACTTGCTTCCGGGTGGAATTTTCTTGAGCAAGACAAGATGCTGGGTCCTTTTCAAGATTTTCCGTTTTCAAAATTCTTCAAAAATTCATCATTTCATTTAATGGCCGTTTATACCAAAATGAAGGACTCTTTGGGCACTACTCTAAAGCTGACAGGTAAAATTCATTGACTCCTGAATATTTCAGCCCGGCCTGCAGCCTTGGAAAAAGAGCCCAGATTGTGCAGTATTACGTAAGATTCTTTTGTTCCCAAAACCGGCACCATGCACTGCTGACCTCTTTTCAATAGGGGCCAGATTAGCGTGCAGCGGTGCTGTGTGGCTCATCGCTGCGGTGGTGGAGAGCTTTTGTCCCCAGTGGTAATCCGTTCGCTCTAAATGCCTCAAACCGTGGTATACTGTTTCAAAACAAGGCTGGATTATCTCCACTATTGAGAGCGAAAAAACATCAGTAATGCCCAGGAGCTCAGTCTTTTGTGCTGAGCACCGTCTTTTGTTATAAGGCCTAACTCTTTTGTCCCAGTTCCGGGCTCCCCAGCTCTGCATATAAAGCCTATGTACTCGAAAACGGGTCGCCCGGCAGAGAGTGATTAATGGTTCTCAGCAGATAAGTAGAAGGCACTCCAACAAATTCAAGTGAATTTTGGATGTTACATCCTCTACAATTTTGGCATCTTAGTTCTTGAAGCAATTCAGTGTTGTAACATGTGCTCCTTTTTTTTTCCTCGTCAAATGGCTGTGTCGACCGAGCCAAAATATTTTGCATTTCAATAGACACAACTTTCCTTTTGCATAACTTGAAAGAGGAGAATACAACCGTGTTCTACTTTTCCTTCCATTTCCCGTAGGACATCACCCCAAGAACTTCAGAGAAGATCTAACAAACACACTAATGAAGAGGCACATGCAGTACATAAAGGTGAGAGTCATCTCGGTGGTACAGGTGTCGTTTGACCGAGCAATATGTTCTTGAAATACTTGGGATGCTCGATGCGTTCATCATGTTTGAGATGGAAGCTTAATTGTCGTGTTTTTGGTACATGCAGAAGAGGAAAGCACAAGTTTTGCCTCCGTACAAACAGGCAGAGTTTTGCTTTGCCTTTGTCGAAATGAGGCAAACATCTGAAGTTGGCCTCGATTAGCCTTGTTTTGGTGGGCTCGAAATCTGCAGTTTGGAGGTTGGAGTTCTTTGTTGCTCTTGTCTTTAATAATCAGGCACATATAAAGTTGTGCATCCAAAGACTTGTTTACATGCACACCGTGGTGTTGCGGCTGATGCGCACCTATGAAAGATTTGCTGTACCACCATTCACTGGAAGGATGTTCGACTGCTCCTTGTTCTTCCATGAGAGTATGTTACCCTTGTGGGCTGTTGGGTGAAGTACGTGTATGTAGGCGTGTACCGGGTACCTGCCTCTCGATATCAAAACCCGGTTCCATTTTTTTGGGCCGGGTATCCCTAACAGAAAATAAATCCACCCATAAAATGTATGTGAAGTTCAACAGTGAAGGGCAGAATCGCTGAAAATCGTCGTGACGCTGAAAAACTCAGTCCCGCAGTCATATCATAACTCTGGTTCACAGATCGCCGGAGCTACTTTTGTTACAAACTCGAGGCAATACTTCATTTAATATAACGGGGGGGGAGATTCCACGCTAATGTTTAGAACAATGTGCTGCTTCCTATGTACAACAAAGAGCCCTGTTTTGGGCACATGGTCTTTTGGGATTGCACGCAATGCCATTTGTTGAATGTTCTTTGTATTTTAAGGGTACTTGGATACCCCGTATTGACATACAATGGGTACCCAGTACCAAAATTACCCTTAAAGGCACACCCATATTAAATGGCGAGGCTTCGTCTCAGCATTCCTAATACATGTTGGCTCTCACTGTTTCCAGTCGAGTTTGTCGTCGGGCATAAGAAGGACCGCGTCTTGGATCTTGGGGGACTCCGTCTTGAATTCTGTTGAACCTTTCCAGCCTGTTGTACAGGAGAGGAATAATTACATCCTTACCGGACCGGTACTCTGCACATTTGTTGAAAAGCTGGGCCCTTAAAAAAGGGATCGGTCGGATACTTTTGCTGAGGAGGAATGTCGAGTGAAGGACTTCACCTCAAGGTGAAATCAGGAGTCATTCAGCAGTTTTTGCAAGTCTTCACAGAAGAAACTCAGGAGGAGGTATTTGCAAATGGAGGAGAGATGTCCGAGATGCAGTGATTGGTTCAATATACCCAGAATGTACATATAGCACTCTGAAAAAAACAATCTTACATACAGGGACAGACAGTCAGGAAGGCAAGTCTCTTGACCTGTATATCTGTCCTTGTCTGTCCAACCAATCCGATCTTCTCATATCCCACAGCTCATTGCAACCATATAATCTAGGCTGCTGTTAAGGGTGGTAATTTACATTTAATTTGGAAAATGTTTAGAAACCTTTCCCATACCGTTTGAACATGTAAATGATCCACCCTTACCACAGTGTCATTGAAAACTTTAAACACAGCAAACTGTATACAATCTAACTAGTTAATACAAAGTTTTGGTGTTATTCCTTTGATATGACCGAGCAGTAAAGTGTTCCGAAAATAAAATTACATTTCAGAGGCATCGTTTACAATAAAAAAGAACGCCAGACTGCACCTATCAAAAGTCAAACCTCTTAAAGGGGCAGTTACGTTGAAACATTTTGGAAAGTCTCTCAATGGATTTGGAACTTTTTTCATTTGAACGAGTGAACGTCCCACCCTTGGCTGCCATGAGTGGCTTGAAAGAGTAGGCATCAATAGACCAGCGAGAGAGGACAGAGGGGCTGATGCGGAAGCAGGCTGGAAGCCGGCCACCCTGTGAATGCTGTCTTGGTACCTGACCACCAAGTGGCACACCAAAGCTTGGCTAAGGATGGGTGCATCCCCTTGCTTGTCAACACTGTCATCGGGATCCTTACCATCCTGGCTATATTCATAGACCTTGGTGTCGTCACTGTGGTACAGAGCTATTGAGTATTGCAGTGTTGAACAGCTAGGTTCACAGATTGAAGATTTTTTTTTGGTAATTGATAAAATGAACAGAAGGAGGGGTTGGATTGGTGTCCCGCGTAAAGGCTGTTAAAAGGGACCATCTTCCCGCAAAAATCCTGTCTTTTCTCGACATCACCTGTGTTGCATCCTCGCCACACTGCCCCAACTTCGATTGTTTTTTACCAATTGAAACTGTTTTATTGCTTGGCTTTTGATTCTTCAGTTACCCAAAGGTGGTCCCACTCTGTCTTGGAGGTTGGAGATTTAATCAATGGCTCTTTTGAGTACTGTCTTTGAACAGTTACTTTTAGTAAGTGTCTGGAACATGTGTTCATAGGTGCTGGCGGCTGATGGAACTCTTGACATGCAGAAGTGCATGTGAGATTTGCTGTTGGCAACATGCTAGAGGTGTCTCAGTTCAGGGATAGCTCTCGAGCATGCTCACTGGGAACAGAAATTCCTAGATGTCCTTGCAGAGGTTTATACCTCTAGCATACACAAAGTATGGATCGCTCGTAACATGTGCCCAATTTGATAATGAGCTTAGCGTCTATAACCGTCTCAAATGAAGCTAGACGGTGAGGGCTGAAGTGTCTAAACCTTCATCTCGCACATCAGACTCCCTAAAAGAAAGTGCAGGGGTGGAGTCCGCTGAAAATTTTTCAGCAGCTGAGTTGCACATGTACATGTATGTACCGTAGGTCACATTACGCGTGGCTGTGTCGCTGTTTTCATTTCAAGGATCTTAGACGTTGCGATTCTTTCTAAACGTTTAAGACGCCAGTGTATTTTCTCCTCCCTCCATGAATGCTGTGAAATTAAGACCTTGTGTTGTGATTTGTTGAAGGTATCCACAGCAACCAATAAGGAGAAGCTTTATGCCTCATACAGCAGCGTAGTAGGTAACCTGTTTGTGCTGTCCCGCAGTGCCAACCACAGTTTCCGAGAGATCCTGGATGGGGTGTTGGATTTGATTGTCGCTAAGTGGATCACATGCAGTGTACAGGTAAAATGGAGTCCTTGAGTTGTAAGTTTATTACCACCAGTCGACTCTCCTGTTAGAGGCATAGATCTATATTAAGTTACGAGAGCACGGAGGAAACGTGATGTCGTCCTGGGCGCAGACATTTTGAATCTTTGTGCGTGCCTGTGGAACATTCGAAATCGGATAGAACGAATATTGAATTATGTTCTTGGAGTGCAACGCGCATTGGATACCAATTAAATCTGATCACAAAAAGTCACGCCAAAATTATCTCCAGTGCATATGCGCACGTGTTTGTGTTTACGCAGAGCGAAATGAAACAGTCAATTACTGATTGTACGTTTAGGTTTTCACATATCGGCCTCGTTGATGCGGCGTTTTAGACGCAGATATGCAAATAGCTGTACAAAAGCTGCTCCAAACTTCTAGGTTTGTGCACAAACATGGATACGCCCAATAGGCATCACTTGAGTTCATGAGTCAGCGCTCAGGTTTTGGTATGTATAGCTCTATGGTTAGAGGATATCTCCAACCCATCAATTCTTTTAGCATATAACAGATCACGTGCATTGTCTGCAGTGATGTTCTTGCCTTCCAAACTCTTCTTTCGCTGCACACTTGTGTGATGGTCTAACTACTTGTATGCAAAAAATGGGGCACTGCCCATGGGCAGTGGTCATGCAACTGGTACCACTTAGATTTATTATGTACACTCGATTGTATTACAAACTACTCGGAATGGGTTCACCATTACATTTGAAATCTAGAACAGAATCGCCAGCCAGCTCTTCCTTGGACCATCCTAGGGTAGAGCGGTTCGAAAAATTCAGCCAGACATTGACCCCCAAATATTTTTTTTTCAGGGTTAGCTTTTCAGGAGCCTGCAGTGTACCATAAATATCTGTGGAATATAAATTTTAAAAAAGAACTGAAAGTCTGGAATTGAAACATTTTAACAGGATAGCGAAGAGGATCCTGTCATGTTGACTGGTGTCTACACTTTTTGTCTGAGGGCGCTGTTCATTGTCACTGGTCCCCATCTGGGCAACCAAATAGACGAGAGGTATAACACACTGCTGAGAGACCAGGTGCTAGGGAACCAGCCGAGGTAGGTTCAGGGGCTGAACTTGTCCGTCCGTCATTATTGATCTCTCGCAATATTTTTGCTGTCACCAATTGATGCACCACAGTACACTGATTTCTGTTGTAAAGTTCCTTGTCAACATTTTTAAAGTGCTTTTGACAGAGCCGTAAACCAGTGCGTTGGAGTTTGGCTGCCAGATTACTTCAGGGTCCACGCAGTGAATAGTTCTGAGACTCACTTTTTGTGCATCTGTATGCTGTTCAATGTATGAAGACTATTTGAAACATTAAAAATTATCCAAACTTTCTGGATGAGTGAGGGTGCAGTTGCCGCAATGTATCGGGGAAGACTGTAAAGTTTATATGTGTATTCGGGTTCAAATTTTGAGTGCCAAATTTGCTCTCTGAAAATATTTTTGCAAAAAGCTTGCTCACTGGCTTATTGCTGCATACTTGGACAACTGTAAATTGCCAAAGAAATGGAAATTTTCTTCAGCAAAATATGAAAAATTCCAGCAGTTTTTGTGCAAATATCAAAGCAACATTGAGCTTCAGTGCCTGTGATGACATCACGGTTTTGCTCATGAATATGCAAATTTTCATCAGCATAAAAACCAGAGAGGCACCAAAGTACAGATTAAAAATGAAAAACAAAACTGAAAATAAGGTTAATGGAAACACAAAAGTGTAATTTCAAGGGTTGCTCTGAAATAATTGCATTTATACTTGGTCCTTCAAAATTCAAAATCTTCCTGGATCCTTTGGGATGTGTTAGAGAATTCCACCCAATTAAAAAAAGGTAAAACAAGATTTACGAAAGGCAGCTTTTCCTGGGTTTTCGATTCTGGCACAGATATGTGAAGGAGGCCATGCTAGACCTGCTGCTTTTAAGAGCCGTGGGCTGGAAGGGTTTGCCAGAATTCAAGACGGAGTCCTCATCAGATTCCAAGATTGGAAGAGAAACAGGAGACGATGCCGATGACGGACCAGTGCCTGAGGAGAGGCACAGCGCAGTGGAGGGAGAAAAAGTGCAAGAAGACATAACCCATCTCGGAGGAAAGGAAATCAGTGAAGATATGGCGCAGACAAAATTGGGAATAACTGGTGGTGGAGATGCCTCATCTGTCGGTCAGTCAAGACCAGCTGTCAATGGTGGTGACAGCATGACTGTAACGGAATGGACATCACCAAGCCGCATTGGTGGGTATTGCTGTCATATACCTGAGCGACATTGCTCGTTCCGTGTGTTTTTATCTCGTCAGTTTTTATTTATTTTGAAGCAGTTCTTAGTAACATATGATGTGAGAGTTACAAGATTCAAATCCAAGAATGTTATTTTCCATTTTGATTTGTCGAATTGGACCGAGACTTTACCTAGCGAAATCATTTAAAGCAATAAGTAAGCTCGGTTTCTCAAAAGGGCAAGGTCACCAGAAAATAAAGCATGTGTATGACTGCGTACAGCCTCGCTGATAGGGCAGACCTAACGTGCGTATTTGCTGTTCCTGAACGACCTAAGACGCGCTTTATTTTTGGCATTTGCTGTTGGAACATCAACTGGCTCATAAGAAGTTGAATTCATTAGCCCTAACTGTCCTTATTCATTCCATTTCACTATGGTATTACATACACATCTTAAGGTTATTCTGATAAAACATCTTGGAGCATCCTGGACAATGATGGGCCATTGGTGGCATGTATCTTGCCAGAAAAAGGAGTTTTAAGGGTAGTTTTTCAACAGATGTTTTGTATTGATTCCTACCTGTTTTTACCTTCCTTGCGGTAGGCTCAACTGCGAAGTTTCAGCTTCCGACAAGAGAGATAACAGAGAGGGGGGCCATCATGCTTGATCAAGCCCCTGTTCATGCACCCCACATTCCAGCGTTGCCCATCAGCGATGGCTTGGCTGCAACCCACCAGACCACTTGGCAACAGTCTGGTTTGGGAGCACCCATTTCAACCAGAGATAGTTGGTCTCCGGTGTACCTAAATCGGCCTCAAGAAACCATGGCTTTCAGCAGTAGAGGCTCTGCGGCAAATCATGCCCTAATGAGTAAGCCCAAACTTCGCGGATGCGGACAGCCAGCACATGCGGACATTCCCCAAGGAGCAGAACAGAATTCTCCTCCTGTGGCTCACCCGTACCAGGCCAGCCTCGAGCTTTCCAGCAGGCAACCAACAGATGGGAGTCCCACATCCAACTCTGCAGTCCCAGCGATGCCCTCATCAGGTTTTGGCCCTGAGACCACCATCCCAAGTGACACCTGTCCTTCCGCACAAGCAGGAGCTGCTATGGAATTATCATCTACCTGTAGCCCGAGACCAACGCCTGAGGACCAAGCGATGCCTTCCACCAACAGCAATCCGTCCACCAGCTCAGCAAGCAGCTCGACTGATAAGCAACCGCTATCTGTCCCGACCACAAGTACCGCAGAACTGACCACTGCAACGTCCAGCCAAGTAAGCGTCACCAGCCTTTGCGCCTCAGAACAGCATGCTGAACAGTTCCGCCTCCCCGATACCCAACAGCAAACAGATGGCTCTGCCTCCAGCCAGCTATCGGCAAACAACAGCAACAACAACCGCTCTGAGGCATCTGCTGGTATCAGAGACCAGCAAAATGGCGAACATGACGACGGCAGTAGGTGAGACTAGCACTAGCCCTGCTAATCATCTTAGTTTTTTGTCATACACCTCAACAAGGCTCAAACAACAAGGACCATTACCAAAACAAAGCAATCCAGTGTCTTGTGATGCGCTATTCTGTTAGGAGCTGTTCTTTTGACGAAATTGGATGAAAATTGCCGTTACATAAAGACTGCTGCAGTTAAAAAAACGAGGCGGTTCTGTTGCGTTTATGATATTTCTATGAAGATATGTTCATTTGTTCTCACTTTCCTCTTCCTTTCCTACTTACATCTCATTTACTTGTGTTAATTTTGCAAAGAAGTATATATTTCTTGCATGTGTGGCTTCTTGCACAGCTAAAGCTTGGTTTTACTGCGAGAGAAGAAAATGGACAAGTAGGTATTTTTCAGATAAACTTGCTTCTCTAAATCTTCCCGACGTCTTCTTTATTCATTAATGATATACATGTATGTTTAAAAAAGCTTGCGGAACAGTGCCAACATGTCTCATGTCATTTTCCTAGACTGCTTTCGGGTGAGGAACAGACCTCGACGGACGGAACCGATTTTCCGACTGGGACAGAGAGTGGTGCTGTTCACAATGCCACAGAAGAGTATGGACACCCAGAGCGTGCGAGTGCTGGATACAGAGAGCCACCATGCCATCACGAGAACTTTTGGGACGAGGAGTCGGACAGCACCAGCGATCTGGAGCAGCAACCTCCAGCTGCCTGGTCATTGGGAAACTCTAGACCCTCAGAAGTCCTCTTGGAGACCCAGGGAGCGGGAGAGAGTAGATTAGGCAGGCAGAGTGTCCCAAGTAACCTGGATGCCACCAAGGACCCGAGCCAAGGAGCTCTTCATAGACAGGCAGGGAAGGGGTTGTCTAGCCTCTTGCATTCGGCCGCAGGGCCGCAAAGAATCAGTCCCATTGCCTTCGGTAGGGGCGTGATGAGGCTGGAGCCGTGCAGCAGAACCAGCGGTAGGGGCTCACCTGCCACTGGCTTCATGACCTCCCCGCTGGCATTCATTGAGCCAACCACTGCACCCCAGAGTCTTGCCGCCAGGAAGGGCACAGGCAGTAAAGGGAGAGAAGGTACCATTGAGCAGTCAGAGAATGAGACAGACACAAAGCAGGTACTTCATGCTGGCTTGCTTCAAGAGAACACTGTATCATCCACAGTAAGTCTTGTTTCAAACTCTGGACCAGGAGGTAGTGCTGGCAAAATTGAAACACAAAACTTGGGACAATCTCAGGAAAACGGAGTGGATGATGACCCAAAAGCACCACCGGATCTCCCGGTTGGTGAAACAACTCCATCAGAGGCAATTTGTGTGGATTCAGTTTCCCGACCAAAGATGAGCAATTTCCAAAAAGTCCTTCAGCCAGCCGTCGACATCACTGCTGATTACTTTGAGGAGACAAACACTCAAGATGGGCAGCGCATTCAAGACATCTTCAGAAAGACGGGGTTCAAAGTGCCGGAGTCTGAGAGAGCAGAGCAGGCAGTGGTTGTCGAGGGAAACCAAGCTGCAGAAAGCAACGTGGAACCCGCTGATGGCATTCCGGACACAAAAAGCCAGGGGGTTTCCAACCAAGGAGCGACCACAAGGGACCTGCTTCAAGATGTCACTTCACCATCACTGGGGGAAGAGCCACTCTCAGGTTTGCCATGCCAGTCCACCGAATCTGGCGAGCAGTTAATAATGTTGTGCCCTCTGTGCGGCAGTGACAAGCACCGGACCCGCCAGTGCGCCGTGTTCAAGAAGTACGCCCCGCGGGCCAGTACGTCCGACGGACAATCGGACCCCGAGGAAGAGACCCCCAGTGTTCAGAAACCGAAGAGGGAGTCCCAATTTGGGAAGACTTTCTTCTGCAGCAAGTGTGGCAAGGAGGGTCACCTCACCTATGACTGTCCAGTCAAGGGACACTTTAACATCTTTAACCAGTTCCCGTGACCGATCCAATCTTCCTTCCCCCAGTTTCATCCAGCATTTCTTATTAGAGATACTTTACGAGGGAACCAGGGAAGAAAATGAAAAACAAGACCAAAATGACCCTGTCACTTTTTAATGGCATACTGGCTTTCCGTGAATGTGGAGAAGAACCACTCCAGAAATATGCTTGACAGCTAGCCATGTGTTGCGGTGTACTATGACGGGCAGCACAAGAACCAGTGACCTCAATAGAGAGTGTAGCCAGATACCCATTTAAGAAAACAAATTAACCCATACTTTGAAGAAAAAGTTTGAAAAGCATGCATGAAAAAGGCATTTAAGTTGCCAGTTCTGTCTCACCCAAAACAAAAATTCTTTTGGGCACAGACTTGAAAGGTTTTCGGTGCAGCCTGGCTTTTATTGTAAAGGTTTCCAGCAGAAACCTTTTTGAAATCTTTCTTTGTCACTTTCTGAAAAGTCACTCCATGTCAGTAATTTCTAGAGAGACTTGGTTTTTGGTCGTATGTCCCATAGCTTGACACTGGTTCTTGACATAAACATAACAGTCTGGTACCCAGGTACTGTGTCCTGATAAACAAATGTACGTGGACTCCCATACCATAGTTGTGGGGACATGCACTCGACATTCCACCTATTTTGTGGGGACCCAAAGCGTTGTGGGGACTCCCTCCCCATGAGGGTAGTAACACTTGAGCTTTCGTGCAACCATCACAGCTTTCTGGAGAGTGTGCAGCTCGATGCTATCACTGTACATGCAGATGGCTAAACATGGTAGCCATGTCTGCTCGCGTTGGTTCCCATCTGCATTTTGATTCAATGGAAGCATGACCAGTGACCTTTATAATGAAAATGGGGGACAACTGAGCTCCAAGCTACACCCATTGTAAAGCTCTAATTGGCATTTGCAGAAATCTTTCTTCGAAACAGCTAAAAAAGGGACTCCAAAAGTATTCATCTTGACTTTTATTATTTTGTTACTCAATGACACATGAAGTGCTTAAAATGATTTAAAATCACAGCAGTTATTTTGTCAACGGGAGAATGGCTATGAAAAAAAATTGAAATTTGAGCACTGTTTCAAAGGGCAGTGTGGAAGTATTGTTTAAATTCAAATGCAGCGGGAATTTGAAAGTACAAATGAAGCCATTAATTTTAACCTGAATTTGTTTCCAAATCTGATGGTTTTTTTGCAAAGGCAATCAATATTCTTCTGGATTTGTAAGGCTAAGAAAAAGGCTGGAATTATCACTTACATGTACCTCTGGTTGCTACACACTTTGCATCTTCCCTTGATGCGCTCCAAATAATCCAAGAGTCGGTTAGGCGAAAGACCTCAGCACACTCCACACAATCTTGCCAATAACATGGTAGCCAATCAAAGCTAATTTGTTTTGCATTTCAGTGCCAATATATTGCCACAACGTAAAGACAACAAATGCATCTTCTTTTGGGGACACAGATTGTCTTTAGTATGAACAGTTATAGATCACATGAGTTATGGAAGGTTATTGAAAGTTAAAATGATCTTTGGTAATAGTGCAGATCTCTGAATACTTGTTAAAATCAAAATACGTGTATACTGCATTTGGATATCGTTACATGTACCTATCTTGAAGCAAACTTGAATTCTCAATTCTGATCCATGGCAACAGTATGACCTGTAACTGTACTGCACAGTTCATATCAAACCCCGATGATGCACTATTCTAACTCTGTGCATTGTGCTGTTTTCATGCGAAAAGCAGAACGCGCAGCTGTGAAGTTGACTGTATATTCAAACCTGGCACTTTTGCATGCATAGGCCCCTGTAACATCTTCACTGCACATCAAGTTTTCTTGAAGATAAATTGTTATCACGCTTGTGTGATAACTAATAAGTACGTTTGGGCAAGATTGAAAGATCAACCAGCAATGGCATTCAGTGAGAACACCATCTTACAAAATCTGGGTCTTGTCAGCCTATATTTCTATTCCTCATAAGATAACTGAAATATCTGCTGCATTCCCAAGTCATGAACTGGTGAGAACTAATTGGGCTGCAAGACAAGAAGTCTTTCTGAGCAGAAAGGCTGTAAGACGCCCAAGCCTTATGAAGCACGTGTGCAAATAACACAGTGCCAGTCTAGTCTTCAACTGCAGTGTTGTTAGAGTTGCCAGGTTTGGGGCAAAATTCTTTGACAATGTGTATTTACATGTAGGCATCTACAGAGGCCTTAATTTCAGGCTCTGGACTTGAACCCAACTGCGTGAAATTGTCAAAAACAAACTGGATCTAGATTGTACTACTGTGCAATGCACATGTACAAATGGCTTTTATGCTGGATTTTGTACACTTGAGGCTACAATATAAGCTATAAATAAGGTGAACTCAAGCAGTTCCTCTGCTTAGTTGAGTAGACGAAGAATGGGGGGAAATATGTCACTGCCATAGTTTAATTTAATGCCCATGAAGTGTTTATCACGTTGTATACTGTTTCCATACTTCTGTGTTCATTCTTATACAATTGTAGTTTTCAATAAAAAGAGGTTTATTTACGGTAGTTTGTGAACTGTACAGTCTTTGATGCTTTGATGTTGTCTCTTTGGCGTCTGAGTGGAATAACAGTAAATTGCTGTAAAATCAAATAATGTAGTCAAATACAAATGTTAACCCCTTAGCGACGATGACGGTAAAAGCCGCCATAAAAATTGAGATCCTCAGCCCGCTTTTCAGCTATTATTCTCGGCCCACGCTCGAGCAAACACGGTGAAAGAAGGCAGACCCTGGCTCTAGTATATATGGTGACTGGCCTTTGTGTGTAGCCCAGAAATGAAAAGACTGGTTTTGCATCATAATTACCAGCTTCACAATAGTCCCCACTTTGAAAATAGGCAACGGGAATGTGGAAGCGTGAGTAGAGCCGAACGCCACCGAACAATGAGCCTTTTCACTGTGTAATTCAAAGCGTGCAGAGCACGCAGGGCCAAAAACCAAGAATTTGTGCTTGGCAGGCGGCCTTCGTGGCCAAGCGAGGCTGGAATTCTCGGAGTCGGCTTTCAGAAAAAAGTTCCCGTCGCCAAGGGGTTAATACAACAGTGTTCAATCTTACTGAAACTACCGGCGCCATGTTTACTGTATACATACACACCATGCAAAAGAAATAATGTGAGCATTTCCAAGAAATACAGTGTGCAGTTGGGTTAGTGCATTAACATGGTATATTAGCATTTCCTTTGTGCAAGTACTTATGAGCAGTGCTAGATTTGCATACAGGTCATATCAACCCCGCCTTTGCCACCGACATGTACATGAATGTTCTATGCAATTATTAAAATCTGCAGTCTCACTCACCGAGCATGAAGGTTAAGGCCACGCTTTTTTTTTCACTTTTTCAGTTTGCAGATCTGCTGATGTCATTTTTCATTTTATCCACCCATCTTGTGAGCTGCAGAGGAAGTGACACCAAATAGTAGAATGGAATTTCCAGCTAACGGTGTCACCACACAACTAGAAGAATCATGCCAACTTTACACCTGTTGAACTCTCATACGAATGCAAGACTGCAAGTTCGATTTCATGTCATGAGCCACTCTGTGTGTAGACATTCTGTGTACATGTGCGTGGCGTGTTCTTGTGTGTGGGGTGGGGGCCCAAAGTTACCTTTTCCCCCTCCTTTTAAGTAATCAAAAGCAAAGCAGCATTTCACAAACAGAATTACCTCCTTTCTTATGGGGGTTAGGCTCCTTTTCACGGATGAAAAATGCTGGACAGTCATTTAAAAACCCCCAAAATAAAACAAAATTTCCCCCTCAAGATCCAGATACATCACTATGAATGGGCGTGCTGGCTCCCTCACACAAATACATGTATGCTCTATGTGACAGTCTGCACCCAAATTGTACAACGAAATACTATGGAAATTTGAACACTGAAATCGGTCAATGTGTCGTTATTTTGAACAACTTTGGACATCACTGTTCAAACTCTCACAACATAAGCAATGTCCATCTACACTCAGGAATGGCCTCTTAAAGTCCACCGGGGTACCGGCTCTACAAGTACAATAACTCAACTTTAAATACTGGAGTATGCAAGCTGTCAAGTTTCGTCAAGAATACAGTCCCTAGAATTATCGGTATTTCTACTGACAAGCGCATGTCACAACTTGATCGACCTAATTTTTTTTTTTCACATCCCCTTGCCACTTTGCAAGTACCAACAAAAATTGACTGGCATCTTTTTCCTACTGCAATTTATAGTGCATTCCAAAATATAAATCATATATTCTCTTTTTATCAGAATGTACACTTGTACAGCTTGATTCATGCATACAGCGTTCATGCATTTCTGTACATGCAATAAAATAAAAACTTAAAACTGAAAATCACAGAATGGCCGTCTTGAGAAGATTTTAAGTAGAAGTGTCCTAAAAAAGTTTCAGAGTGGAGCCGTGCATCCTTTGCGCTGCTTGCTGACAACTCCGTCCAAGATCGCTGGCGCCTGGCAATCTGATTCACAGGGTTTTTTGAACGAAGCATTTACAATTTTCAAACACTACGACCAGCTTACTGTCACAATGGATGCTTACACACTGTGGCAGCGTGTGTTGTTAAAAGCGCTTGCAGACCAGGCAGAGGGTACCAGCAAACTGAAGAATCTCCGAAAGACTGAATGTCACACAGAGTGTTTTGTCTCACAGAGACAACATGTGTTCACTAAAACATCACAGAATTGCCGTGCTCTGTAATCCAGACAGTACATTTTCACACTTGATATTAAACTTCTACACTCAAAGAAGTCCAGTGATGTCCTGTTACTTCCCATCAAGAGAGGCTAACATTTAGAGTCAGTCAAAACTATTAACCACCATACTGCAGTCTGTCATAATTTTGTCTTTCAAAGTCTCCAGCATAAAGAATCTGCAACGGTTCATATCTGTCGACAGTATATTCAGGGATCACAACAGACGTAACACTCTAGCTGTTCTTATGGCATAAACTGACGACCGACGGCCATCCTTCCATAAGCGGCTCCACGGTGCCTATCACCTGCAAGATCATATCCCTGGGCGCTGGCTCTGGCAAGAATGGTAAACGCACATCCTCGGAAGCATGTCCACGCTAAACAAGGCAAGGGAGAAGCAGTGGTGGATGGCGGAGGGGCTGTGGGGTGTGTCCTCCTAGCCCCTGAAGGGTTGCTCGTTGTTGACCAGTGCCCTCAGCTGCTTCAGGACCATGTCCATGAGCTTCTTGCGATCTCGGTCGTTCTTCTTGAAGTTGGTGAACAGGTTGCTCCGCTTCTTCTCCGAATCTCTCATCCTGCCGAGGAAGAGGCAGCAGACAGGTCAGAAGAGCAAGGTGGCACTTCAAAGGGCCTCCTCCGTGCCGCAGGGTTAATGGGGAGGTAAAAGCTAAAAGCAAGTGCCTGGTGTGGAAAGTGGCAAGCACTTGGAAACTGATTCTGTTTCATGCGGAAACAAAAGACGGTTTAAGGGCTATGGTGTGGATGCACACAGGTTTGTGGATATAATGCATGGACTGAGCATGACTAAATTTCCTCAGAATGCGCACAAACCCATGCCTCTGTGCTCATGCCCGAAAGCAATGATAATTTTTTCCCAGACATTAATTTTGCATGGACAATTGATACCACGAAAACTGGCTCATTACAGCCATGACAATTACGACTTCAAAGAGCCCTAATCCCCAGGGTGTCTATACAATTGTATTGAAAATGAAGGATTGAGGACTGCTGGAGTTAAGGCAATGTGAGGACACTCAAGCATTATTGGAGATGCCCTTACACCCTGCATTTGGTTTCAATGAACTGTAAGTGCTATCGACTGAACCCCTCTGAGCCGAAGCAAATGAAGAATGGATGGATTCTGGCAAACTTACTTCTCCAGGATGGTGATGGCGGTGTGGGGGTCCACACGGCTGTACTTGCTGGTGGGCTGGTTGTAGTCGGCCAGGTAGGTGGACCAGTCCCAGACCATGAAGAGGTCCAGCAGCTGCCTCAGCTGGACAAAGGTCATCTGAAGGGCACCCTCCCGGAAGCCTGGCACGGGCTCCGAGTTGGCAAACACTGGTGTCGTAATGAATTAACAAGACATTGTTTGAAATTTCTTCATTATCAGAAAGTGCTTCATGCATTAATTGGTCGTTACAAGTCTCCTTTTTGATGCAGGATGTTTTCTGTTTCCAAACTTTCTATAAAAGGGGTACAACATTCAGTTTACCCTTGGCAGACTTGAAAAATGACTGCAAATGATTTACTCTTACACCGGTGTCCAGTGTTGCAATCGAGACCTCTGAAGACCATCACATGACCCCACCAGACCATCGCAAGATCAACACAAGACCTCCGGTCTAGATTCAAGTCACAAGCCATTCAAATGAACTGCAACAAAAGCGTTCATTGTCACTGCTCACTGTCACTTGTGACTGGTCTTGTGCAAGGTCTTCGGATGGTCTAGACTATAACACTGTCAATGTCTAAACTGTTTTTTGGGGTCCTTTCAGGCTGGATTACAAATGAACATCATTTGGCAGACTGCATGATGCATTTAACCGCAAAATGTACCCTCAGTCACTGGCTGCAAATGGGCATACACACTGATCGCCAATTTATTTTGCACAAGCATGCAAAGTTTGAAAAGTCTTTTGGAGAGGGTCCATGCATTGATTTTGAGCTTGGCTGCTGTGCACAGCTTGTAACAAATATCATTCGACAAAAGTGCCCCCGAGTGCTGCAAAATATGAGTCTGGGCCAAGAAACATCTAGGGCTGAGTCAATTCAAAAAATTCGCTAGTCGAATATTCGATCTTCAATTCAATCGAATATCCAAATATTTGGTTGTTCAAACAGGCAGATTGTCGATGAACAAACCATATATAAAGTCAATTGTAATAATGCACACAATTGTATGTTATGACCAATGTAATATATCTCCAACCATGATTTAGCGGGATTAAGAGACGAACAATACTCCTAGCCCTGTTGAAAATTTCTATTCCTTTTAAATTGTGTCATGAATAATTTACATTTTGAAACAAGCCTCCATTGTGCAATTTTTCTCATTTAAAATGGAGGAAATTCTCCCTGCCTTTTCATGAATTCTGCGTTCGAATATTCAAACTTGGAAAAAAATATTCGAATATTCAATAATCGATCAAATATTCGGCACAGCCCTAGAAATAACATTCAGGTATTGTCCCAACTGTTCAGCTATGTATCAAAAGTTGGCTGTTATATCTTGCCTTTTTCCAAAGTCAAAATTTTGAGCCAAAAATTAAACTATCCACCAGTGGTAAAATAACAGAAGAGTTACCAGAGAAAATGTATTATTATTATTCACAATACTGTCCAAAAAGAGTTAAAAAATATGTAAAAATTTTGCTGAACAGAAATAACAAATTCTCCAACGTTTCCTAGCTTTCAGCAATACTGTACATTCATCTGACTCAGACCACAGTCATGACGTACGGTGCAATGGCACCACACCTGAGTTCCATCATTCAGTCAGAGGAATCAACATGTGTGCCTCACTGTGTACACCTCTGCCCATGACTCAGGACAGCCCGACACTATAAACTGGGATACCCTGACCAGTCCTAGCCAGGACTTACGTTCACACTGTATAATGTCAAAGCTGAACTGCTGTATGGCCCCCATGGTCATCATGCGGATGTTGTTGTCCAACAGGAAGTCCATCAGTGCCTGTGACAGGTGCTTGCAAGCCGACAGGCAGGCCGTCTGGGCCACTTTACCCTGGAAGGAGATGGTACAGGCGTGGTGTTAGGACAAGTCAATGTTGAGGCCATCAAGAGAATAGTGTTACACTGTTCCATGTGACCAAAGAGTAGGACTTTGGGCTCCTTTTCAGGTTTTGTGAAAGTCTTCTGTGAATCAAAAATGAGGTACTCACATTTATGACAACAAACCAAGAAAGAGAATAAAAGCATTTTTAATGCTTCTTTCTATGGGATTTATATTTCATTAAAAAAAAAAAAGAGGGAACCCAGGATCACGCACAAGAACAAAGCCACAATTTAACTTGATGTGCATTCTCATAATAGCAAGTTTTAAAACAAAGAAACTGTTTCAAGGGATACCGGTACAATGCATAGAGACAAGTCAAGCTGTGTGATATTCAACATATGATGCACAGATGTCAAAATGCAAGAAAAATGACAGATGCTTAAATACAAGAACACCTGAATTCTGTTTTGGAATGTTCCTCATGACTGAGGCGTTCAACAAACCCCACTTTGGTTTTTTGTTTGAGGTGACGTCTCTTATCTTATGGAAAAAAACAGGGAAACGGAATACCCAACTTCAAGATTCCCATCCTCATAGCTGTTTCAAAGAGAACTCAAGCCTTATAATAAAGCAATTCCCAACTCCTCCTCCTGGACAACCTGCAGAGTTCTCTTTCCCAAGTCAACCCCCCCCCCCGAATTCCTCACCGGCAAGTGGACAAAAGCCTTGAAGCTACCCTCAAGGAAGCGGATGATGTCCATGATGTAGCCGCTGGCATGGCCCTTGGGCTCGTCCAGCGTCCAGTCATAGGAGGCCAACTCCAGGAAGTCGTCCACCTTGGCATTCAGCCGTTTGTAGATCTCCTGCTCTGCCTCGCTGCGGGCGTCGCGGAAGATGTTGGAGCTCTGCAGGCCAGCAGCGTGGATGTTCTCGCCCGTGGTTCTACCCACACAACATCAAAATAAGTTCTTTTTGCCTATTTTTGATTTGTTCACAGTTTAAATAAACTGGGATGAACAAAGTTTCATTAGGTGAAAAGTTTTACAACTTATACAGCCGTAAGAAACACTCCTTCAGCACGTCTGTATTGCATACCAAGTGTGGGCATTTCTTCCATTTGTTTTGGATGTAGTTTAAAACCTACAAAAAAAGGACTTCATTTTCCTTGCAATGTGAACACTCTTTCAACTTGAATTTTTGATTTCCTTGAGTGTTCGTGTTCCTCTCCACTGTCACACAGGTAACCCTCTGTACCCCAGAATGCCCACAAAACTAATGCCATCCTTACAGTGGGAGAAGCCTTGTGTAGACCTCGCAGAGTCAAAAACGACCTTGTTAGCTGCGGTTCGTGAACCTCTTTCGGTTCCACACAAGAAATACCATGCCTGTCTAGTAGGGCAGAAAAGCAAGCTGTATCCCAGCATATTTCTGCTACACACATTTGATTTTAGCTGTTACACGTGCATGCCGGTTGCCGCGGACGTCGGTGGATCATTTCAAAGTCACTTCCAATAACAGGGCTAAGTGGTCTATCTTGCATCTTTTCAGCACACAAATGTTAACTTGCTAACTCTACATCGCCTGAATTAGAGTTGTTGTTGACGATGACCGTAATGTAATTGCTACTGGGCAGTTCTACTCTGAAGTGGAAATATGCTTATGCTCTGACCAACCGTGTTGTCATGGGTAATTCTTAAAAGCTTTTGACCCCCCCAAAAAAACAGACGGTGAAAATGGCGAGAACAGTTACCTTTGATTCCACTTACTCTTCTTTTATGGAAAGCTTCTTTTTGTTGGAGAATAATGAGATTTTGCTTATTTATGAAACAGGTAACATTGTGAGTAAATTTCCACCTTCACGTCAAATCGCCCTACTCCCAAAATAAGATTGGAAAAGAAAGTAGCCTGCTTTCATTTCAAAGCAAAGTTTGATGCCTTGTTGTCAGAGACTCACCCAGTAATGTTTGAGATGAAGTCTTCCAGGTACGTGCAGGAGCTCTCC